GTTCTTTTGGGGTTGCATACTTGGAGGATCATGGGACGTAGTAAGTAAGATTATAAGTACCCTAATTGCGGTTATTCCCCAAACAGCTTTAGCTGAGGGGTTCTTGATTTGCTTAATAGAAAAGGATTCTGTAACGCTCAGTTGGATTTCTCACGGCACTACGCTAAAAACCGCTACTCATTTGTCTCCCACTTGTCTCCATTCGTCTCCCACTTGCTGTTTGGGGTCGAGGCTGGTATAATTAGTGTATTTGTGCGATTTGGTCGGGAAAGATGATGGACAAGCATTTGGACTGCCATGCTCATCCAATAATCCAAAAACCTGCTTTGTCAATGCCACTTTTGTCATGGATTCCGTGAATGTCTGATCGTGAATCCAGTACGTAGTCCCGGCGAAGTGTTGTGAAATATAGTTCTGAGCGAGGGCAAAGTGACAAGGTTCTGCAGCATCCACAGCTCTTTGGATGAGAGGTGAGGTAGCAGGACTCATGTTACGACGATTCTGTCGATCTGGGGGCATTCATCCTTAATGATTCGGTTGCAGTTCGGTTGTTCCGACATCAATGACTCGGGTGCTATGGAAGCTCCCATCTCGACCCGAACAGCACTGCACTTCACTGCACCCTGAGATCTGCAATTCTGGCTGAGAGCGGCAGAATGCTAAATGTTGCATCCCACTCCCTTCTTCCTGTCCTGGATGACATCAGATTGTCAGAGGTCCCGAGCATGTGCTTTCGAGTCGAAAATCGGCAGTTTCCAGTAGCCGGCTTTCAGCCCGGCACCTGTCTCGGTTAGCCTTCCATGGTTGTTTAGGGGTTTACGGGTTTAGGGTTTAGGGTTCGTGAGCAGCCCGACACGAGCTCCCTGGCTACATCGTCGATTCTCCCGCAGCTTGCGGGGTTTCACCTCCAGATTTCTCAGAGGAGCGGGTGATCCGCCCAGCGGTACAAGGCCTCGGTTCGGCAACAGTCGCTAAATTGCTACAGAAATGAAATCCCCACGCTTTGAGAAAGTTGTGCATGAAACGGACCAGCCCAAGACCAAAGCTGCAAGGTTGAGGATCGTTCATGTAAGATCTTCAAGAACTACGAATATCATTCCTTCGGGTTTGTTAGTTGCTATCAACTTTGAGAGGTTGCCAGGGTCGTGGAGTCAGTGCCTAGGTCTCGTCACATCCCACACGGGAGAAGGACGTGTCTTAGTTTATGTGGCGGCTGAATTCTTCTTGGGGACGTCCGAGAGGTTCGTGGGCCTTCGAAGTGAATCGTGGTCGTTCTCATATTCAGAGCGGAAAGGCGGGTCTGGCTAATTCGCGGTCCTGATCGGACGAGGCGAGAGTTTATAGCTTTCCAGCACAATGGTTGCTGAGAGCACTGTGCAACATCGTTGCGAATCGTGTCACCTACCGCTTTTCCCACCTTGCCGTGGCATTCGGAGCATCCCGCACAGGACTTCCACGTGAAACCGCCGAGGAACTTAGCATGTGGTCTTCACCTGCACCTACCTAGGAGATAGATGCGAAGAAGGCGAATAACACATCGCAAGTACTCTACACTGCGTGCCGCTGGTTGTTCCTTTGCTTTTGCTGCTTTCCGTGGCAGAAATGTCAGTGAAGTGGAGGAGTCAGACGAGCTCGCATGCCGAAAGACCAAGAGGCAGAGGGTAGAAAAGGATGGGGTAGATCAACTAGGGGTAAAGCCCAAAATCCCGGGTTTTGTCGCTTCTTCTTGGGTGTTTGTAGGCGGGCCGGTTTGCGTTTTTTTTTTATCTAGATGACACACTGGTGCCCCATGCCTCATGTGAGTGTTTTCTCTTGGGAGCATTGGTTCATTGCATCTTTCCGGTGCCAGTCCTTCCAGATACCTACAGTGGGCACTGCCTCCTAAATCTTCTCCCATGCCCCATCTGCAAATCCAAGACAATAGGATGTGTGTGTCCCTGCTTCGTCGAGAGGTCTGCTACAGGTAGGAACTGAAGCTCTTTATTGAGACTGCCTCTAGGGGGAAATTGCCCGAGGAGCTGGGAAGCCCTGCAGACTCTCTCAGCTGCATGTGGCTGAGCAGTACTACTACTGAGGGTCCCTTATTATAGCCATCCTATAATTTCTACTTAGGGTCCCTTATTATAGCCATCCTACAATTTCCCAAAAACACTATTCCAATCATTCAGGCCCCTGTGCTATATGCCTCCAGGTCCCTGACAAAACGTCCTGCGACGCCCAGGTGTAACCTGCAAGGCGGTGGCTTCTCATCCAAGTCTCTCCAAGAGGACAAAAAAGGAGGGCGCTGCGTCTCAGTAAAAGACCGTGCTCAGAAGCTCAGACTCGGCTTCTATATAGGATTATTAGAAGTATTTTAGCTGGCTTTCGAGTAGATGCAACGGTAGCTACACTCCTTATTTACGATACTATGGTTACTATACCCCTGGATGAAGCCAACATCGCAGCCTGCTATGAAAATGACGGTGACGAATGTTGATGTTGCATGTGCCATGTTTATGAAAGCCACGTTAAGCGATTTCGCGGTAAGGGCTTAAGGGCTTATAGGGAATAGGATCTGCTTTTTGTTATATTCAGTTGGTTTGAGTTGTTCCTACGTCCTCTGCCCCTTTTGGCACAGCAGGCGGTCTATAGCTCAGGATCCTCAACACCAGACCGTAACAAGGAAGAGCCCCTTACAGTCTAAGCCCCAAAGCCCGCAGCTCGAAGATGGGACCTGGGAACCTCTCCACGAAACCAGAACCCAAACCCTCCAGACTGCTATTCCCAAGATTGCACCCCGCCAAAAAAAAACCTTGGTTAGAGACTCAGCCTTTAGATGCCCGGTGAACCCCACCCCATGCAGCTGATGTTCGGAATGCGCTCGCTTGCATGACTGGTCCCAGCCCGGCCGTCGTTCGCAAGGCCTCGGAGATTGAGGATTGGGGTTCAGCGATTAGGGATTACGGTTTCGGGTTTAGGAGACTTGGAACGGATTGAGTCGAATGTAGATTTATCCGGGTACGGGCTGCTGGCGGTCAGCATGGATCCTCTGATCTGGGTTCTCCATGGCTTCTCTCGAATGGAAGTCAGCAGAGCAGTTGGCTGCAGCAGATGCCTTGGCCTCGCAACCGTTTACGTCCAGCTGCCACCGTTGCTGCCACCACCGTAACCACCACTCAGTCGTAACATAGTGATCACTGCGGTCACACAATCATTACCGTTACTATCAGCACCCCATCATGATCATGTTCTTCGTCTCATGGATGTTCCCCTCAGGTGTAATGTTAATTCTTGTCTTGCTGGTAGCTACACATGTGAGAAGTACACGGAGGCATTGACAGTTCTCAGGGAACCTGTCTTTTGACCGATTCCACCTCTGTGACCTCTATGTGGCAAGAATCTACACAGAGGAAGGCCTCGCAGTAGCCGGCGCGAAATCCGCACCGAAAGTCGAAAGCCTATTTCGCACCACGTTGACAATATAATCCCGCATGTCTGGGGAAGACAACTGCCACAACACGTAGACCTTAACATGTAACATGTACCGCGGTCCCGAAAAGAATACATGAAACGCCTCATCCCCAGACCCTAGCAGCAGAGGAGAAGCTAAGCATCTACAGAAGTGTATACATACATATGTGATATGTATGTGTATGTGTACATATATATACATACATAACATGTCTAGATATGTATGTATGTATATATATATATATATGTTTGTAAGTATATGTATATGTACAAGTATCTGTCAAAGTAACAGACTAGTTTGAGCTGCTACTTGTGAGCTGAGCTAGTGGCCAGTTGTGCCACGCCTTGCCTTGAGGACTGCCTTGTGTATCATCCTGACTAGAAGTTGCAGTTCTTGTAGCTTTTGGTAGGTCGTGTGAGACATGATGCCTGCGATGCGGTATCAGCGCGCTGATGTTGCCATGTGGGAGCCAAAAATCTGTCAAAGTATAGATGCTTCTATATATGTACATAAGCACATACACACACACACATATATATATATATATATACATACTTGCGTGTGCATATATATATATAGAGAGAGAGAGAGAGACAGAGAGAGACATATGTGTGTGTGTGTGTGCGTATATATATATATACATACATACATATGCGTATATATATATATATATATATATGCATATACATCCGTAGATGCAGGTATAGACCTAGATAGATGGTTGGAGCACAGGTGGCCGAGGACTTGGATGCAGCCACCCTGCGGGTCTTGGCTCCCCGTGCCGAGGTTCTCGCCCAGCCGGACCGTCCCTGTAGAGCCTTTTGATAAGGGTTTGAAGCTTAGGGCTGCGAAGCAAGAAACCCGGTGCACAAAATGCTGGAGGTTTAGAGTTTTTAGGGTTTAGGGCTTGAAGGTTTCGGGTTTGAGCTGTAGGACAGACAGGACACCAACCCCAACACATCCCAACACCAACCACCACCACCACCACCACCACCACCAACAACAACGACAACGACAACGACAACGACAACGACAACGACAACGACAACGACAACAACAACCACATCCACTGCCACTACGACGACGAAGACGAAAACGACGGCGACGACCACGCAAGAGCAGCAGCGCCACGACTCCTCCTCTGCTGCTCTTGCTACTCTGCAGGACTCGGCCGGGCAAACAGCGCTGCATTTGGCTGTTCGGGCACGGCCCGACGATGATGTCACGGCCGACGCCCAGAAGCAACAAGACAGATCTGGAGGTCGTAGCTTTAGGCCTGAGAAGAGCCCACACAGCTGAATACTGTCATCAGAAGGAAGACTATAAGTCTTTAAACGCCCCAGCTCCTTAAACAGGCCCAACTGCGGCAACCCAAACACCGGTGCGAGTGCTTCGACGGGTTTTGCGTCTGTACTCGCTGTGATGAGTAGTGGTGGTCTGAGTTCTTGAGGTTGGATCCTCGGGAGGGCGACCCAGGATAATTCATCCGCACATTTTGCAGTATCGGCTTGCTCACACCCGCCCCTCGTTAGAGGACTTTGGAAGCGTACTACCGCATCCACGAGCTGTGAGAATCCAACATTACTGGACGCACGTCGTGTTGAAGCGGCCTTAAAGGCTTAGAAATGCGGCTGGCAGAACCCAGCTAGGGTATATATATATATATATATACACGTCTGACTTTGTGAGAACGAAGTCTGACAGGTGACTGCGCTGCTCGTAGCAATGCGAGCAGACCTCGCCCTTCGGAACCAACGGGGAGAGAGCCCCGGCTTTTCCAGCAACCATGCTTTTTTAGCTTGAGCTTCAGGGTTCCAGCCCCAGGGGGAGATGCGGGATACTGAAATTCTTCGTTTGATGGTTGGGGATACTGAAATTCGTCGTTTGATGGTTGGACTACAGGAGTCTGTTCTTGGTTTGGATTGGAAGGACGCCGTTGCTGCTGGCGGTTCGTGCCGCCTTGGCTGCCGGAGTCCAGGGGGATGGCCCCTGGCTACTTCCTATCCGCCTCATGCTGGAGGCACCGACCAGCCGTGCGTCCAATCATGATCGGTGAGTAGCAACCCTATGCTTCGCCCCTCATGCTACGGCGCATCGGGCACACGATCTCAGCTGATTGAAATTGTCTTGGCCCCAACAGCTCACATGTCATAGGGGACGGGTGACGCAATATCGTTGCCATCCCCGCCCTAACCTGCAGAAAGATCGATGTCATGGTCACTTGCTGACAGGCGAAGGCAGCTGCTTGTGTTGCTGGGCTGCATCAGCTGGGCAAGCTATCCGTTTGCCTCCAACCCGAATCGCCGCAAACGAAGCGATACGAGCCTCCGTTCCATCCTTTGCATTGCTAGTCTTGTCTTCAGACCATGCTTTTACTTGTCCGAGTAATAGTGTCAAAACTCCCTGCAAACAGTGGCCGGGTACGTGGTGCTGGCTCGCTTGCCAGCGATGACCTTTGACCTGGGCAGCACCGACACTTGAACTTGCAAGCAGCCCTTAAATCTCCCGAAGACCGTCTCCCAAGCATCCACCAAATCCCCAAAGCCACGAAGACCCAAGGCCCTGAATCCCCTAAGCCCAAAACATCCCAAAAGCCTAGACTGCACCCAAAGCCCTATGCTAAACCCTAAACCCTAAATCCCTTTTTGCATCAGGACTTGTGCAATCGCCTGAATGTCCGAGCCCAGCTCAAAACCCTAAACCCCTAAGACCCCCCTGAACCCTAAACCATAAAACCCCAAAACCCTACACCCTAAACCCCAAAACCCTAAACCCTAAACCCCAAAACCCTAAACCCCTGAACCCCAAACCTCCTAGAGCCAGAATCCCCGAGGCATCTGACAACCAGGGAAGGGCTGCCTTGACGTATTCCGCGGCAGCAAACAGCTGCTTGGAAGAATCGTAGCTTCATTCGGTTTAGGCTTTGGGGTTTCGGGTTCAGTGCTCGGGATTTTTCATGTTTGGGGCAAGCATTACGTACCATGTGGTCTTGGTTCTGGACTTCTTGGATTGGGATTGTAGTTTCCAAGGTTCAGGCTTAGGATGAGGTATGTGCATGCGATTGTTCGGGCATATGTAAGTAAGCTAGTATATTAGTAATTAGTATGCACACGCATGTAAACATTCAACCACCCGTGTGTGTCTATGCGTGGAGGTATGTGCAGCTGCGCATATCTTAAGCACACTACATCCCATTTTCTGGGTTCTTGTTAAGGGATTTAATTTAAGTTACCATGATAGGGATCTATAGTAAATAATATGGTTTCCTTATTATGGTAACTTAAGTAAATCCCTTAACAAGAACCCAGTTTTCTGGCGCAGCTCCGAGATCTGTCTCTCTGCCGCCTGCTGCTGGACTTCCGTGCCGATCCAGAACAGCGCAACGCGTCCGGGGCAACTGCCCGGAGTGTGGCGAGCCGCCAAGGACCTCGGAAATTTAGGGTTTGGGGCCCTTAGGGCCTTTGGGTTCAGGAGATGTGCCCACAGAGTTCCAACTTTTCCATCGGATGTAGGAAAGGAGTGTTCCAGATGGGAGTTTGTGAGAACTTGGGGCCATCAAGAGGGGGATCCTAAGTATGTGCTATCTGAGACATTAGGTGTCCTGCTAGTCTGCTAGATACGGGCTTGACTTAATCCTGAGGGGCTTGAATCATGGCCTCGGCACACGGCTCGCTGCGAGTATCCGAGGCCATGATTCGAGGCTGCCTCATAATTTAATACAGCCCATTAAGCCTACTTTCGAACTTGACCCTAACAAGCCGAGATGCAAAAGGCCGAAAATCCCTGAAGACCTTGGCACTGTTACTCCTTTCTCAAATTCTGTTGCATTCCGGGGCGGATACCTGTCGAAGACTCTGTTTATACAGGGCAAATTAGGTGTGGCATGAGTCGGACCCGGCCGACCAGCCTCTGAACATATTTTGCATCCTGCTACGTGCTGGTCCGGATCCTTCTTCAAGCTGCTTTCACTCTTATCTCGCCTGTGCGTCTATCCATCACCCGAACCTGACCAGGAGCACTTCAAGTTGTAGCAGCCGTATCCCTTTAGCAAAATGGACAATCGTCATATAATGTCATATAAACATGTTTCTTGCTTCCTACCTGTGGGGTTTTCTGTTTCGCCCATCACCAAGCCATCTTTATCATTCATGCAGTTTTCTGCACATGTTTGAGCTGCAATCTGCGAAGTTTCCCACCCACACGCATCGACAACTTATCATGCACGAAAGCATGTCCACCAATCCCCTTCTTCGATCCTTACCGACCGTGCACTTCCAGGTCCACTAGTGCTGACATGCAGAGTGAGGTTTAACGATTTCGGAACCAAGAAGGCAAGCAGAATCCCCAATCTGGTGTTATGCATAGTAGAACGTCCACGGGACTGCTTGGACAGGCTTTGCATGGAGCCTGCTCCATGCAGAATGGCATATCGAAGCAAGCGGGCTAGCAGAGTAAGGCTGAGTAAGGTTAGTTGGAAACTCAAGATGGCCGGAAGGATCACCAATCCGGTGTTGTGCATCGTGTGGCGGTAGAGTGTCACCATGAGGATTTGGACGGGCTTTGCATATGGACTGTAATGGGGTAGAAGCATATGCTGCCATGTAACGCAGGTGGATGCAGGAAGTCAGCAACTGGAGGTGTAGCCTGCTTGGTTATCAGTTGGGCAGGAGTCCTATTTTGTGCACCAGATGCAATGACGAGTGTCTTCGTTGCTCCAGCATGCCTTTGGTTGGGCTTAAGTACAGCATGGCGCCACAGTGTTCCTCTTCATGTCGTTGTCTGCATCAGCAAGCATCGTGGGTCCTGTTCTTCGTCTGAAATGGCACGCTACGGCGCAAGTTCCCCGATGTTCCGTTTTACTGTATACAGAAGCTGCCGGGAAAGCTACTTCACGCTGAACCTTTGCCGACACTCGTGCAGGTGTCACTTCAGTCTTTATCTCAGTAGCTTTAGTCTGTAGCTGCTTTAGGCTGGTGGAAGCATGAAACGAAAATCACGAGGACACCAGCATGTTGTCGAGTTGTTGGCGCAGGCACTGGCCTTCAGGAAGTGATTCGCAACTGTCTCAAGGCTTTGTCTAAGCCTTCTAGAGTCTAAAGACCGATACCGATATGTCTAGATGTCATAGGCTTCGGGATTGTTGCGCTACACTTCAATCAAGTTGGTCACCATCCCGAGGTGCCAAGGGGCAGGGGCTGAACTTGAGAAGGATAAGCCCGTCTGTGCCACTTTAGGCCGTCGTTTAGAGCCGCAGTAATTATTGATTCTAGTTTCGCTTTAATGTTTGCTACCACTGTCTGTGACGATCTCTACCACCATGGCTACTGATGCTCATGCTTTAGATCCTGCCCCCGCCCAGTAACAGTTCACAAATACATTTAAGACTAAACACACAGGCCAACAAGAGCATCCGGAAACTTGATTTAGGTAGGCTTTCGCACAGGGACCAGAGAAACACACATCCGGCACATCCTTCTGCAGCCTCAACCCCAGCCAAACTCCCTCTAACCATCCCGGCCCACAACCCTCAGTCCCAGGCCATCCAGCCGAACTTCGCCGGCCCCCAGCCTCAGCCCGCAGACCACCCATCAGCAAGGCTACCGAGATATCTCTTCACAACTGAGGCATATCTCCATATCCGTTTGCTACAACCTCAACACCCCTAAGCCTACAACTGCCTACATGTTCCTGGTTCTTGTCACCCGAATCACAGGCTGCGCGTCCAGTTCGACCTGAAGCAAAGCCTTCAGTAAAGCCTCAAGCCACGACACCTGGCAGTAGAAGGTTGAGGGCCGTCTTGGAGAAAGGCATTCCCAGTGAGGGCTCAAAATTTCGGGGGGTTTCCGAAAATGGGGGACAGTACCCAAAATAGCAGGTTCCCCCAAAATAAGGTATCCCCTATTTTCGGAAACTCCCATTTGGAGCGGCCCTCCATGCCCAGCTTTCCGAATGCGCGAACAAGACTTTCAGCTTGCAGTACAGACTCTCATCAACGACTGCTCTCGTGTTGGGTAGTCGCCTAACTAAGAGGACTCCTTGCAATGCCAATTTCGTGTTGTGGTTCAGTCTTGTTGATGTTGCTAAATATTTTTAGAAAGGGATAGTCCGGGCCCGTAGCCAGTACTGTATTTTGTTACATACGAAGGTGGACAGTCTTATTACACCCTCGGCTATAGGTTGTCCTGAGGAGCGGTTGTTCTGGGATCTGAAGCTGTCATTGGGTAGCGGTTCTGACGTACCGGCAGATGCCTCATCCAACATCGACTTTTGAGGCATTGTGTACTGTACGCCCCTCTATGAACCACGTTGGGATGCACCCAAGCCCCTCACGAAATCATGCCATACTTAATCTATATAGACCATATCTAGACCCACTAAACCCTATATAGACTCTTAGGCTCTTGGGACTCTTTGGAAGCCGAAAGCACCCAGAAGATCCAGGAACAGGGTTCCCAACCCTCCGCAGCTCTCGCCCATGGAGCGACTACGTGAGGAATGTCGCAGGGCGCAGATTCCGATCGCTCCTCGTCGCAGGTTTACATGTTTCGGGTGTGGGTTGCAAACCGAACGCAACTGATGCTTCGAGACGAGCGAGCAAGCGAGACGGAGAGGGAGGACTTATTTTGGATTTCGGAGTGAGAGTCACGGGACAAGTAGGTAGGGCCAGGAGGGCTTGCGGGCACACTGTGTTCCTCTTGAGTTACCTTTGTCGTGGGTCTTATGGTGCAGGCGCGGGCCATCTCTTATGCTGTCCAGCGTGTCCGCGTTTTGGTAATTGCTGAGGATTGGTGCTCGACTGAAGAACAGTTGCATCTCAGCTGCATTGCCCCTCCCAAATCGAAATCAGAGGCAACATCTCCACCACCACTAGCACAAGCACCACCACACACGCAACGACCGCAGCATTCTCCACCAGCAGCAGAGCAGCAGCAGCAGAAGCAGAACCTTCATCACAGCAACCGCCGGAAAAATAGCAAAAGCAGCCAAGGCAGCGGCATGTTTGTTTTGTCTTGTATACCTTGCAGGATCACCAATCACAAGGAAAGCAACTCAGCAGGTTGGGGTAGCGCGCATAATTCTTCGCGCAAAGACCACAGTCTTCATCGTTGGTTCGAAGATTGGAAGATCGCTTTCGTCCTTTGAACTCCTTCTGTACATGGCCGGGAAGACACACATCTAGGGCAACGGTTTGCCATTCGGTTTAGGGGGCTACAATTCCCAAATTCAAGGCTCATGCGCCACAAGCGCCCACCCACCCTCCACAAAATTAGACCCTGCTTTCTGCATGTAGCATCATATCATATAGCAGAACGACCAATCTCACCACGAGCATCACCACCAGCACCATCGCCTCTATCATAGACATGAGGCTGGTATCATGGCTGATGGTTTCCGATAGTGAGCCTACTGGCTCGCGCCATCAGCCCGACCATCACCACCACCAGCATAGTCGGTTTACAGGGTTTAGGTATGTTTAGGTTACCCATAGGCCCTAAAGTAGTTCCTTTTTGGGGTTCATATTTAGAATCCTATTAGGGAATCCCAAGAAGGAACTACTATGGGGCCTATGGGTAATTAGGGTTTAGGGTTCGCAAAAAGTTCAGCACGCTGCATGCCCAGGAGGGAGTTGAAAGGACGCTGGCAACATTTGAGCTGCCTGTCCATGCAGCAGCTGGTGCTGCCAGACGGCAATTAAGAGCGACACCTCTTGTCGTGAACCGTGTGCGAAAGTTACCACAAGATTTGATACCCGCTTGCCCAGCTTGGACATAGGAAACATCTTGTGTCCGTTTCGGGTTTGGCCCGCCGCGAGCTGTTCATCAAGCTGCTGCAAGAACAGTCGGCAGACATCGGGATATGTCCTACTTAGGTACGACTTCAGTTAGCTGGACAAACGGGTATGGAGTAAGAAGGGGGATGCGCATCTGAATACGTTGCCGAACCTGTTGAGGGGTCTGCCGACCGGGCATCATAGCAAGGGATTTCGTGCTAATAGCCTGGAAATTCATTCGGGACTCTGGCTGACCTCGCCGCATTTCCAGGCAGGAGGCCAAGATGCAGCGCATCAACACGCAGGGCGCCTCCAAACCGGAGGAGTACCCTAAACCCTAATCCCCTAAGCCCGTAAACCCTAAACCGTCTACCATATCACTTGTCGTTGGCATCTTGACTAGCCCTTCCTGACAACATGATGCTCAGTGGTATCTACTGCAGTATCTGCGGTTTCATAGTTTCATCGTTGGACCAGTATCGCTACAGACCTTGCCAGGCTTTGTCCGAGTGTGAGTGTCAAAACCGTCTACCGGAAGTTTCCGGGGTCTTAGAAGTCAGCTGGAAGAAGCTAGGCACACCATGCAAAGATGAACTGCAAATGGCACATGGTTTAGAACGCGGCCTTCTGTGTTCAGCATTCGGCTGTGAGGTGTTCGTTTCTGTTTGCCTCTCTCTCTCTCTCTGTGTTTTGGCTACCATGTTAAACTGCCCCTAAAGTGATAACCCCGAACTCCTCAGCCCTAAACGGCCGAACCCTGACGCTTGCAATGATAGGCAGGTATTCAGCTGCTGGCCGTTTGTACCTATTCCACCCTAGTTGCTGATCTTGCTTTAGTTTTGGCTCCGGAGTAGAAGGGCTGGTCAACAAAGAGCTGGATCTCGGTTGTATCCCTCTACCTGGTCAATAACCCTAAACCCTAAACCCATGCTGCTAGGAGCTTCGCAAGCGCCTTGTGCAGCAGCATTGCTGGGAGATGATGACGGACCAGGCAGTGACGATATCATGATGGCCTAACCTTGGCATCCCCCGAACTCGTGTAACCACAGCACAGCAATCCGTGATGAAGCGAGAATGGGCTTGTAGGATCAAGGTGCCTCATCGCTTGTTTGACCCTAAACCTTGGACCCAAAAAAGGACCCTCTGCTGTTTGGTCGAATCTTGAGCTGCGGAGAATGATCAGCATGTGGAGTCTGAACTAGATGGGCAGCAAGAGGCTTCGCAATGGGTCCTGGGGTTAGAGATAGGGATTGGTCGCAATAGGCCTGAATGCAAAAAGGGACGGGAATTGGTGTTTCGATTTCTGCCCATGAGATGGTCACACCACAACATTCGCTTGAGGAGCTGCAGCAATGCTGCTTCGCACAGGGCCTCTTGCCTACAGCAAACCGACTCTGTCCATTTCTATCACGAGGAGAAGCTATGAAGAGGATGGCCATAGGTTGGTGTTGCCGATAACGAAGTCGAAGAGGAATACGATTTACAGGTGAGGCTGGACTCTTCGGTGATGAACATGATGACGACCATGAAGACGAATTGCAGCAGTTCGTGCTGCATGATGAGATCGGCGACGATCGCGACGAAACAGGTGAGTAATGCTGATGGCAAGCATGAAGATATTGCTATCCTGACAGGTTGACAAGTAAGGGTTCTGAGACTTGAGCTTGAACGCCATCATGTGTCAATGTGAACTGATTAAGAGCCTCGTTTGGCACGCCCGGGTGTGAGAGTGCGAACCAGCAAGTAGCATAAAACCGCCCGTCGGGAATTGGACTCTGAAGCACGCAGGATGAGTACGATTAAGGCCAAGGCACCTTGACACAGACAGTAAATGTGTGTATAGGCAGATGCAAACATACAACCCGCAACTTGCATAATGGTGAGACAGAAGAGCACTACCCATAGGCCCCAAAGTAGTTCCTTCTTGGGTTTACCTTCTAGGATTCTATATATGAACCCCCAAAAGGAGCTACTTAAGGGCCTATGGGTAGCACCAACAACTAATTCGACAGCAAGAGAACTGCAGCCCAGGCGTGCTGTTCCCAAAGAACTGCTTTAACACGCAGTTTGCCGCAAACCGAGAGGCTGACAGACGCCGGGCAGCATGTTGGGACTTCTCAGGGACGAATCAAGGGGTCTAGTACATGAAGTTTAGGGTATGGGTTTACGATGTGACTAGAGTTTAGAGTTGAGGGTTTTAAGTTTGTCATGGTCCGGCTTTAGACTTGAGTCCCGTAGGAAAATCCGGGTTTAAAGTTTAGGGTTAGGGTTTAGGATGTCTGGTGTTCCGTTTAGTTTTGCTTTAATTAAAGGCGCTGTGACAGAGGGGGTGGGGGTGGAGGCTCTGCTCCGAGCTGGGTGTTCTGACAGCCCTCCACTGCATATCCCAATCACTCCGTGATCTCCGAAGAGCAGCGGTCCGTACCATAGAAGTGCCAGCGCACCAAGCCTTGCGATGACATCCATCCGATATACATAATTGGACCAACCCCACAAAGCATCCCGGCTGCGTGGGTGTCCAATAGCCTGGTTCCGCAACCATTTGCGAGATAGCTTGCCATTTAGCGCAGGTCCGGTGCAGATCCCCACAATCCTAACCCTGAAGTCTAGACCATAAACGCCCCCAAACCCTAACCCCATGTAAAGCCCTCGTAAGCGCCATACAAAGATCAAACTTCTCTCAGGGCTGGACATCATCACTCGGCTCAAGGAAGCAACCTTCGGCCTCCGACCAGGCTGGATCTCTCGCCGAGGTCTTGGCACGAAGCCTTTATGATGTTCTGTTACATGTTGCTGCAGTATAGTAGCAGTGGTAGTCGTGATGGTAGTAGTAGCAGTAGTAGTAGTAGTAGTAGTAGTAGTAGTAGTAGTAGTAGAATTCGTCGTCGTCGTCGTCGTCGTCGTCGGCGGCGTGATGATGATGATGATGATGATGGTGATGATGATGATGGTGGTTGTGGTGGTGGCGGTGCTGACACCGGCAGTGATTATCATGACCACGAAGACAATGCCAGTTCCCATGCTTGCAGCTGCGTTTATTTGTTGCGTTTTGTGCTACGACTGCATGTGAAGCTACTTTCGCCCTCAAAAGAATGGAACACTTGGCAGCATCCTCGACCAAGCACCATCCCTCCCTCCCACCCATCCCTCCACTCGTGGAGGTGGGGCGAAGGGTGGAGGGGTACAGCGGTATGGGCTGGGGTGATGGAGGGGTGGAGCAGTTGACCGCTTGTTTAACATATGCTGGGCGGCCTTGGCCCGAAGCCAACGGAGGCAGTATAAAGTGTTCTCTTAACCATTTACACTTTTCCACCATATTGTCAAATGTCACCGCAATTCCGCCCTAAAACGCCCCACTGGGAGACTTTACCTATAGGCTCCATTGTAGTCCCTTTTCTTGGTTTAACCATTTCTATATTTAGGATCCTATAACCCCAAAAAGGAACTACAATAGAGACTATAGGTAGTATCCGCCTTCCTGACAGGAGAGTTTGGGCCGCTTCCCGTGGATCCGAAGAAAGCAGCTGAGCCTCGAGGCTCTCCAGAGGGTCGCTTTGGAGGGGATGGGCTTTCCTTAAGGACGAAATGAAGGGTTTAGGGTTTAGGGTTTAGGGTTTAGGGTCTTCAAAATTATACCATATAGGGGTTCATAGTATGAGGGTATAGGGCCCCTACTTATAAGGGTCATTTGGTCCCCAAGGTTGGCCTTAGCGAAGATATGGGTGGTTGTCAAAATTAGGGTCCCTGTTTGGGTACCCTAAATATTAGGTGCCCCGTATTATATTACGGACCCAAAAAGGGACCATAATTTTGACAACCATGCACCCATATGTATAGATCCGGTATCCAAATAAGAACAGAGAACATATCCTGGTAGCATGGCAATCTGGACATATGTGGACCAGCTTCTTAACTCAACGTTACAAGATCACCACCAGAACAACGCCTTGTAGAAGGACTCCTGACTAGAACTTTGTGGCAAGGATTCAGGCAGTCACAAGCCCCACGCCCAAAACGCTCAACCTCTAGCGCTTAGCATAAGCTTGTTTTTGTTAGGTCCCGAGCTCTTCTGATGGATCCCATCGTTTCTTCCAGTCTGGGGCCTCTTACTTGCTCAGGTTTCTTTTTGCTATATCACATAGGGTCTGATTTTTGGTAGGCCTGGTGGGAAAACCGCCAGGTCACGTGAGCCTGCAAGATAATCCAGATTCCTGCCCTGAAGTATCCTTGTGCTGGTTTTCGGGTGCGCTCAGGGGCTCAGCGCATCCTATTCTTAGTCCTCCAATACCCAACGTTTAAACTTTTTGGGTTCTTATAATTTAGTAGCCATCCGAAAGTTTAACCTTTTATTTCCCTGGCTTATTGGAGAAGTAAGTATTGCTCTCTTTGAGCTGAAGCGATGGAGCCTCTTCGCAACAGGTTCTACCGGCTTTCGCCCACCTCCTCGGCCGAAGGCATGGGACGTCGTGTTTCTTGTTTCTGCTGACCTGCATGGCAGGCGGTTCTCTAAGTAAGGATCGCTTTGGCTCGAGGGTCCTCGCCGTACCGATCACATGTTGGCTAAAGTCGTGGAGCTAGATTTGAGCTCGACATGACGGTAGTCCGACAGCTTTGCAGGCTCGCTCACCTCCGCGCCGTGAGCAAGAGCACAAAGAAGCAGAAGCAGAGGCCCGAAACCAAAAGATTGTTCCTCAAACGTAAGCTTTTTGGAAGTCCGTGGAGGATCATACCTAAAATGCCTAGCTCCCAGAGCCCTGCTTTACAGGAATACAGGGGGAAGGGAATCAGCATACTCACGGATATCGACTTTGGGGCTCAAGTGTTATGCCCAGACCAGTTCGTGTAAAAAGGAGTGTACATACATCGCAGAGAGCTTAAACCTTATGAGCCCCAAACCCTGACTTGATTTCTCGCGGCGATGCAAAAAAAAAACATTAAAGCGCTGCCGAAAACTAGGACTAAGCCAACGCATGCCAGTGCTGTGAGCTTCAGAGTGGGTTATTGTTCTAAAAGTGAAAGTATACTATACTGAGGAAAAAAACATACCTTATAGGGCTCCCGCTACCTGGATACTTCGTGGGCTACTAGCCAAATAATATTAAGCCCGGTATCCCATCATTCAGGTAACCGGATCTTTTTCGGGATTTTGGTTTGCAAGGACAAAGGCGGCCAAAAAGATCCCAGACCCTAAACCCGTTGCAAGGACTGCAAGGACAAGGGCGACCAGAAAGATTCCTAAACCCTAAACCGCCCAAACCCTGAAGACAAATAAGGGTTGCAAGGACAGAGGCGACCAGAAAGATGCTGGGCCTCGAGTTCGTCGGCTACTCCAGGTGGCTCCGCGTGGGGAGGTCTAGGGATAAGATGCAGACGGTGAGGTTGAGACAAAGTGTGTGTGGACTCTTTCAAAACGCTGTTGCAAGTTTTGCACCTTATTGCAAGTTTTGCACCTTGTTTGACAGCGAGGCGAAGCAGCAGAGAGTTTTCGCTTTGGTCAGAAGTACATTGCCAGTCCACTGGAACGCGAGCAAACCGGCACACCATGGCCTGTAAGGGTTTTGTAGAAACATCCCGAAACCGGATCAGCAAATTAGGCAGACAAAGGGCAGTGTGCAAGCACCACAGCACGCAAACATGTTATATTCCTGCTTTGCTTTCTGATATTCTCATATCCCGTGCCAGTTTGGGTGCTGTGCTTTGGGCTGCGACAAGATGGAATGTAGAGGAGTGAGGTAAAACCGGCTGGCCGGAGCTCCTGCTTTGAAAGGCAAGGGCATGGTGCCGGAGGGAAGAGTAAGTCAGGAGGACAGGACATGGCACGAAGCAAGACGGGATGAGCAGGGAGAAGATTGTATACACATGTTGCTACAACTTCAACGTCCTGCATGCATGCATGCATGCATCCGTATGTCTGTATATAAATATACATCTGTACATATATGTATTGCATATATGTACATTTCTCCATATATCTATGTATATACACACACTCACCTACACACATACATATATACTTGCTGACTTGCTTGCTTACATGGTTAGTTAACTCACTACATAATTGCATGCAAACGATCGTACATACATAGTTACATTTTACATCAAAGATACATGCGGCCACTTTAGACGTGCCTAACATACAGAGGTTCGTACATACATTGCTACATCTTACATCAAAGATACATGCGTACATTTTATACGTGGCTACATACGTGCGCGGATGCAGAAATAGCTGACCTTAAACCGTAAACCCATATAGATGAGCATCCGTGTGTGCACATGCTTGTGCATGCATGTGTGGGTGGCATCCACCGGAATATGCATTCACGCATGCATGGCCTTGTGTTGGCTGCATGTACGGCTTCTCCAGGCTAATGCGTATGAAGCAAGTTACGACCCTAAACCCTAAACCCCCAAAAAAACCGTAAACCTTAAACCCCGAAAATCCCTAAACCCTAAACCCCAAAAAGTCCCTAAACCCTAAACCCCCCAAAAAACCCTAAACCCCAAACCCCAACAAAACCCTAAACCCTACACCGAAGCAAGCTCAAGCCTGAGCCAGAGGAGTTCCCGGGCTTCTGTGGCGAAATGCCGGGGCTCGAAGCGGAGACCTGGTCTGAGCAGGAGCTGAAACAGTGCTCCGGCTCTCTACACGGCTTAGTTTTTGGGGCTTTGGGGTTTAGGGTTTATAGGGTTTAGGGTTTAGGTTTTAGGGTGATGATCAGAGACTGGGTTCAAAAAAAGGGTTTATAAGGCTTTGCAATCTGGGGTAGCCGTGTGGCACGAGTCCACAGCACAGTCGGCGCCTCGGTTCCTGGCATATGCGTAGTCCAGGTGTAGAAAGGGTTAGGGCTTTGGGCTTAGGGTTTAGGGTTTAGGGAGTTGAAGCAGGCTACGGCTTTCTGCAGGTGGAAAGCTCTTTTGCTTTTGTGCTGGAAGTGGTGTTGCTTATGAGTTTACCTGTGTGTAAACTCATGACATGTGTGTGCCTGTGTACCGTATGTATTCTTTTACATATATATATGTATATATGTATATCAAGAGAGAGAGAGAGAGAGTGCACCATAGCTCTGGCGAAAGAAAGAGAGAGAGAGAGAGAGAGAGCGAGGGGTCGCTCGCTTTCTGGACCCCTTGAGTGAAGTGAAGTGAAGTGAAGCGAAGCGAAGCGAAG